TGTTAATTTCTGACAAGTAGCTTCAAATTTCTCAGTGCAAGATTCTTGTTCTTTCAACTATTCTGTAAAACTTCTCTTTTAAGCCCAGGCACCATCACATTGCACTCTTTTCTCCTCTTTCCCCATACATCTGCATCAGACAGATTATATTCGTTCAGCAAGACAGCTAAAGTCACTGCATTTCAAACTTGTGCTATGTATTACATTCTCCTACTTGACTCTCATTTTAAATAAAACTTTGTTCTTCATCTACTCAGAGGCCAGAAAAGGGACAAATTGGCTGCAAAAGGACATGTTCTGGGATCAAACGGAATGGGTATAGCCCCACATTTGAGTTTTGATGCACCTTCATCCTCCATCGTTTGGGGTTTTCTGGGTCTAGCAGTAATCCTAGCAGCTCATTTTGACAGATTTAGAGTGTTTCATACGGTAATTGGAATCTCACTGCTTTAATGTCTTCATTCAAACAGTTTCTCTGATCATGGCACTGAAAGGGAAGTCTGATGCTATACATGGCTTTATGTGAAAAAAAGGAGGTTTATGTGATTATGGTAATAGTTCATAAAATCTAGCAGACAAAGAATAATTTAGAATTCATTTATTCATAACAGCAGAAGTTAATATTCTTCTTGCCCACAAAAGAGTTTCAGACATTAATCTTTTCTCCTGGATTTCTGCTATTCTGGAGAGCTAGTTTGGATTGCTTCAGTATTACAGTTGCCTTAACTTCTTTTTTTGTCTTTTTTAGTCTCTTCAAAATACTGTTTTTCCTTAAATAATTAATGCTGATCCCATGAAGGTGGTATGAAAGCTGTCTTCCAACTTTCCTTCAGATTTATGTAAATATTTGAACAGAACACTGAATTCTGGTCTCTGTCTTACAGCTAAGCATTTTACTGATAGTCTTTAAATCACTTCTCTACAACTGAAGATTTAAGATTTAAGCAACTTAGCATATCCTTTCATAATTTAGGAATTTCTTGTTAATGGTGCATTTGCTTTGGGAACAGGGGAATAGTGTGTATGCATGTCTATCATGTCTGTTTATATGTGTTATTTGTATTATTTCAGTAAGATACTGCTTGTCCTTTTTTTTTTTTTTTTTTTTTGTGGTGATCCTCCTCTATTTCTTCAGCATCTGTCTTATCTAAGATACTTCAAACCTCCCTAAATGTAATTTTAAGCTGAGCTCATAAAAGGCTGGCAACAGCTTCAAATACTTAACTGGTTACTTGGGACAAAATTATGTGCTCCCTTGGCCTGACTTTGTTGAAAGCTTTGCAGCTGAAAGCAGAAAAAAATGAGCATGTAGCCATAAGAGAATTGAAGAGTGGAGACCATAGGCGCAGTGATTCAGATTAATCTCTGTATTAACTTCACTGAAGCAATACATCTGGAACATATTAAAACAATTTTGCTGTGTGATCTGTCAGTTATATGCTATCATTCTAGAGAGCAGGTCTTTAAAACCCTGTTCTCCAGGTTAAATGAATTTAGTGATGGCGAACTGACAGATCACAGGAGATGCTTTTCCTTAGAGGTGGTTGTCGGGGGAACCTGCTGCGTTTGGTGTTAGGCCCAATGACTTTTCAAGATTTTATTGGAGACCTGAAAATACAGGAAAAATTACTGTTAATAAAATTTGTGGATGACAGTAGGAACAGAGATCTGCTAGAGAAATAGGTGTATAGAGAAAGCAGGGAATTTCAGAACAGCAGCAATCTGGCCACTTGCCGCCTTCTTAATAAGACTTGTTGGCTAATAAGAATCCCTGACCATACATGCATGTGTGTGTGTGTGTCTGCACGTCTGTGTGTGTACATAAGGAAGGAAATAACAGAGTTCTCTTTTTTTGTTAAACGTTGGTGACCCCTGGTGAGCTTCTTGCACGCTCATTCTACCTGTGATGTGCATAGCTGGAGAGGAGGCTTTGTCCTTTGGGTCAGACAGGGGTTGGATGAGACCACCCGTTCAGGCCATCCAGAACCACAGGTGTGTGCTCCACCTTCCGTGGCAATTTCTGCAGTTTTGGAAACTTGGCTGGTTTGAGCTGTTTTTGTTTATGGCTTTGCTGAGTTTATGGTTGGGGAGCATTGCCCCAAGAGCTTTGAGGTAAGTGACCTTTTGGTTTATTCACTGTCATGTGCAGACTGTGAGGAAACAAATAACCTGTTGGCATCACAGAGCTGATCTGAAGTGTTTTTGAGTTACAGGCCAAAGAAAAAAGAGGTGAACTCCTAACCTTGGAATTTATGGGCACTTCGCTACTCACTCTAAGAAAGTATGGCCTTCTTTCTGGGTCCTTCAGCTTCACCTAATCACCTAAAGCTAGGTATACATTTTTCGATTTAAAAATCCAGCCATATGCTGTAACTAAAAGGGGAAAAAAAGTTCAGTTACAAAAATACACCCTGCCACAGAAAAGAGGCACCTTTCCAGAATATAAGAAAAATCCCAAACAAGAACATGCACCTTTACCCTGCACATCATCATTCCTGTGATGACATCTAGTGCCTTATTTCTTCCGTATCCTCTTTGCACAGGCAGGGAGACTGGCCTTCCTGCTGGGACAGCCCCAAAACAGGCTGCCTGCCACACGGGCTCCCTGCCACTAGGAAAGAGGAAACAATACAGTGGGGTGATCAGCACTTGTCTAAAAAGCAGAAAGAGCACTGCTACCAATCGTTTGTCTGAGGTTTATACTGGCATCCTTAGTCTCTGCCCGTGGCTCAGCAGCAGCAAGTGGTACTGCAGACCCAGTACACTGCGCGGCTGTGCCAGGGCTGTGATGCTGTTGTCTCCCCGGTGAGGCGGGATGCTGGGCCGTGTTCCTCAGATGTGACGGGAGTTGGCATCAGGTGCTTTTCTTGCCATTTCCCCCTTGCCTGGACCACCCCCACCACAGGAGCCTCTCAAGACTGACAGCTATCTAGTGTCCTTCACACAAGATCTGCCAAGTGACAAACAAGTTTCTCTGGGTGGAGTTGGAATTGGTGAAGAATTATGGTCAGCTCAACGAGAAGACTGAAGGCCATGCAGAAGTACAGGAGCAGGGAGCATGCAGCGGTATCTGTAAGGTTTTCCTCCTGGAATGGGTAGAGCTTGGCCAAGCTCACCTCACTGTTGTGGGCTTGCTGCGACCAACAGCAAGGCTGGAAAGTTCATGCCTGTTGATTAGTGGTGAGAATAAAGTATTTCTGAAATAAAGCATATTTATACATGGTTCCACTTTGCTAAGCACAGCCTCAGGAGAATAAACAGATCGACTAATGAAGGCACGTTAATTTAATCTTACATAGACCACAAAGATGAAGTACCTTTTTTAACAGTGCGCTATCACAGTGCTCCTACAAACACAGTACGACTGCAGGGTGCAAGCTGAGCCTTACTGCTGGCCTGAATGTCCCAGACACAGTTTCCAGGTACTTTAAGTTTGTTAGCTTATGAGAGGAAAATCGTGTTTCTCAAAGTTTTTCCACAGGTGATATGCATTGAGTCTCTCCCCCTTCCCACTTCACCTTTTGGAGTTACTGATTTCCTGGTGACCCCCAAAGGCGCACGGGCACATCCCCTGGCTAAGGCACAAGCATGCTGGCAGCAGATCTGTTCCTCAAGGAAGGAGGAGCAAGAACTGGCTGCATTTACTGGTTATAGGGATAAACTTCACTTCCCTTTGGAGTACATGTCCCAGTATGGATGACATTTCCAGTGTGTCATGCTTATGTTAGCTGAAGAGGGTGCGGTATTAGGGTTTTTGTCCCATAGTGGGCTGAAGAATAGCCTCCCCCCACCGCGGGGTTTGGACCACCACTTCTCTGGTGGCACAGGGTTGTCCTCCACTCTTCTTCCACCACGCCCCCCCTCCCGCCCTAGTTCCCACCCTATGGTGAGCTTTGAGGTCTCTTCCAACCATAATGATTCTGTGATTCTATGATGTGACATAGCTGGGTGCTGAAGTGACAGTCGGCCAGCAAGGCATGAGGGGTGTCTTCGAGTACCCACTGCCTCCAGGACAGCAGAGAAAGTGCCATCGCCATCACCGTTACCTTTGGCTCATGCAGGTGAGCTGGGTCCACATCTCCCAGGGAAGGAGAGAAGGGTCCTGCGAGGCCCCTGGCAAGGCCACCCAGAGTCCCCTGCTACCCCCTTCATGCTCGCAGCACACAACCTCCCTGGTACAAGCCTGCCTGATTTTAGCTCTAGAGAGGTGTAGGCCCACACAAGATTTAAGTTAAATGGAAGCCTGCAAACAATCTTGAGACCCAGAGCCCAGAGCACAAGGCTATAGGAGAACCTGGGTATTTCAAAAGGATCTGAGGGTGTCTTACAAGCAGCAGGAAGCAGTTGCTCATGTCATGGAGGACTGACTTACAATCTGAGCGATGGCTTTTATGTTCTCAGATACCTGATACCTGGTTGCAGTGGTCTAAGTTGATCACTAGTGGAAAATTTACTGGAGTTGAGAGGACAACCTAATTCAGGGAGCAATTCAGGGAATGAAGTGTGATGGGGAAAAATGGGTACAATTCCTTGGTGGCTACTTGCAAGAAGGTCTGTGAGATTTAGGCACTTATCTGGGGCCTGGAAGACGAATCTGAACTCTTTATCATCAAGTAACAGGCAAAGCATAAAGCAGCTTGTAAAAGCAGGCATTTGTTATTGAGGCAGTCTAACTGAAACTTGTGTTTCAAAAAGATTCAGAAGATTTGGGTGCCTTGTTCCTTCACATGCAGCCATCATTAATTCACCCCAGAGCCCCACCTCCACCCCTCCTTTGCCCTGCCTCGAGTCCCAACCTGTGCCTGCCCAATCCTGCCCGGATCCCAGGTGTTCTGTGTCGGTACCTGTGTGATTGTCATGGTTGTCCCATAATGGAGAGATGCCTGTGGGTGGTACCCCTTGCTCTGCTGGAGACGAGGTGCGTGGGACATGAGCGTGTCCAGCAGCTGCAGATGGTCCTCAACTCCTTCCCTGCCAACTTCTTTTCTCCACATGTCCAGATGTCAGAGGCAGAAAACACTTTCTGTAAATTTGCGATATATGGTGATGCATCCACCAGTGGCAACAAGATGACAGGGAAAAATTTCTCCAAGATGTGCAAAGAGTGTAGGGTGATGGATGGGAAAGCTGTGACCAGCACTGATACTGACATTGTATTCTGTAAAGTCAAGTGAGTGTCACAGGGAGGCACGGTGGGCAGCACGGCCAGGGAGGAGGAGGGAGTGGCGGGAGGCAGGCAGGCTCTCCTGTGAGGGGCAGCCCTGAGGGTTTCCCATCTCTCTGCCACCCAGCAGTGAGGTAACTAACTTTCCTCTCGATCTTCCCTTACCGTAGGACCAAAGGTGCCTGCACCATCACCTTTGCTGATTTCCAGCAGGACATGAAGGAGCTCTGCAGCAAGCCCTTCAAGGGCAAATCACCGGAGGAAGCACTGCAGGCTGTCTATGGCCTTATTGCGGGGAAAGAGCCTGGCAGCAAGGGCACCACAGTGAGTATGAGCTTCCTCACCCGCTGTGTACCTTGAACTGCCACAGAACCATTCGTTCCTGCTGTAGGGACCTGTGCTGTCCTCACACATGAGGAAGAGCTTGTTTGTGAACTGTTTTCTAATGCTGGCTGCTTCTTGCTGGCCTCCTTTCTTGCAGAATGCAAGGAAGGTTGGTGGGATCAAGAGGCTGACAGACACTAACTGTATATACACCGGCACCCACAAATTGCATTTTGATGAGAATGGCAAAGGGAAGGGTCTTGCTGGCCGCTGCAATCTGACGGAGAACAGCAACTACGTTGGAGCCTACAAGGGAGCTGGCAGGTATGTCCAGACGCACTAGGATTGAAACTGCTTAAGGACACTAGGACTTTTCCCCTATAACATGGGAGGAGAGGCAAATAAACTTCTTATGCAGTCAGCCTTCTGTGTCTGTGCACCCCAAATCTGACAGGGTGGGAATGCATGGAGTGGGCACTGGATGACTCCAGAGTGGTGCAGGTTCCCCATCTGACCACGCTTTGATTGCTGTGTAGTGGGGTTAAGTACAAGCACAAGCTAGCCTTCTGGAGAAAATTCTATGGGCCAGCTAGCCCACTGCCATCACCCTGCTTTGCATTTCCAATCAAGTGAAAAGTAGGTTAGTCTCTGAATAGTCACTCATTATTTATATTCTCCCCTCCCAACACGCTACACTGTTTGCTGTGATTTTTTGCTTGGGAAGCAGCAAGTGCATGTTTTTGTACAGTTACACTGAGTTACATTTGAGTTGATGGTTTCTGGTGGCAGACAGCTCACCGGTGGTGCCTGACCACGCCTTGAAGAGCATGCTTACGGGGCATAGGATGCAACATGTACCACACTGTGGAGAGAGGAGGGGTACCAGTAACACCAGTTCTTGCTTTTTTCTTTCTTTTTTCTTTCTTCTTCCCTCTATTTAAAGCCTCTTACCCGTTCCTAGCACTTGGCATGGTCAGTCGTTACTATTTCCCCAGGTTTGAGGATGCTGGCAGCTGGGGAAGCGTTTGTGAGTTTGAAGAAAGCAAATAAAGAGCTGTGGTGCAGGGGATCAGCAGGGAGGGAAGGCCTGTGTGAAGCATAGCAGGCCCTCTGTGCTCAGGACAACCGTTTGCAAGCCATGCCTGCACCCAAATCCTTTTCCCAACTCCTCTCCCTTACCCCTGTGTCTCCCAGCCCCACTGGTGTTGTTGCTTATAAGATCTCTAGTCCTGACAAGACCTAAAATCACATGTGCACTTGATGTTTCCCCTGGTATTTCGTCAGGCTAGTGGGACTAGCACATCCCTTGTCCCTGCTGTTGAACCTGTGGCTGTGTGGCCTGTTTTGGGGTGCCCAGTGTGGGCACCCATCCAGGACACGCTGCTGGGCAGCACAGGGCTGTGGGAGGCTCCTTGGGTGTGTGCTGGCTCTCAGCCCACTGGGGCTTCCTTCCCTGCCAAGCGCTTTCAGTTTCCTGGATTTAGCATAACTGAGCTTTTAGGGATAGCTGAAACAGCACCTTTGGGACAGTTTCCCCTGACATTACAGGGAATTACTTAGCTGTGCTATTGCAGTCCTACAAGCTCTCGTCATGGGCCGTGACATGGGTGCTCAAGGCACAACAGTTGCTCAGAGCACAATGTCCTTCTTGCTACCCTAACCCCAGATAACATAGCAGTTGGGTGGATCTAGGAATTAGCAAATCCCACTCACTCACTCGCTCTCTCTTACGCACCAGTGGTCTTTTAAGCTACTTTAAAAACGATCCATTCTGCACCTAGGTAACTCATATGTGTAAAGTTGTTTGGTGACTCTGGGATATGTGGCAGAAAGTCCTATAGAAAAATGAGCAGGTGGATTAGGCACAATTGGCAGGGTCTTGGTAGTTGGGGTTTGTGGGGTGACCTGAGATGGGGAAGCCACATACCACCCTGTAATGGTCCACAGCCTGAGCAGGGCTGGAGAAAAGAGATGCCACCAGGAAGTGCTGGAGGAAAGGAATCACCTGAGCAGGGGCAGGCACGCAGAAGACACTGGAGGAGGTATGGTTCTAGGGGGGCTGGGGCTGATGAAGAAGGCCACACCAGAGCACTGCAATGAGAAACAAGGAGCAGCAAAAGAAGAGGAACCACAGCAGCTGACTCCAATCTCCTGTGCTGTCCATGGCCTTCTTGAAGGCACTGAGGGGATGGTAGACAAAGAAAGGGGAAGGAGAGGGGTCTGGGGGGAAGCTGATGTATTTCCCCTGTTTGTTTAATTGCTTGTCTTTATATCTCAATACTGGAATTGATAATTTGAAGTTGAGGTTAGTTGGCAATAAAATAAACTGTGAAATTCAGACTCAAGACTGCTTCTTTGCCCAAGACTGTAGGAACAGGATAGAATAAAATGGAAAGAAAGCACTGGAATGTTTTTTTAAAAGAATAGACCTTATGCCTGCTTCTTAATTTTTTGTATAACACAGATCTTTAAAACACATACTCAAGGGTGGCTCTCCTCGGCAATGCTGTCTTGGTACATCATGTCCTGTACAACAGTTTAAGCAAAATATCTGTAAATTAAGAGATAGCAGGATGTTGTACAAAAAGAAAAGATAAGCCACTCAATAAAACAATGACAGAACATTCTTACATAGCTCTGCTTTTGGTGGCATAGGATTCCTTATTTAAATACTGTCAGCAGGTAATTGCAACAAATATTAATATTTCAGAGCTACGATTGCTATTCCTAATGCTTTCTCTTATTAGTTCCTGAAGTGGCTCCACTCATGCTGTTGCTCTTGAGATACTCCTGGAAAAACATGGCTGAGAGGCTGCAGTACTGTATGACAGTGCCCCGGACCTGAACACAGCTCTTTAACTGTTTTCTGTGCTTTGGCTTGTAAGACATAATCCCCTGGTCTTCGCAGGACGAAGTGCTGATTGATTTCTTTCCCACAACATAGCACTGTGTGGGGGCGATAGCTGGTGCATGTTACGGTGTAATCAAAGATATGGGTTCGAAGTTCTCCCAGTATTTTTCACACCCTCCCACCCCCAAACGCTGATTACTGCATAACGGGTAGTGATCAGCAGGGTCCTGCTGCTGCTTAGTGGCCAAGCAGAAAGACGTACTGGCTTCATAGGCCCAGCAGCGTACTAAGACCAGATAACGCAGTTTTCAAGCAAAAGATGTGGGTACCAGCAGTCTCATAGCTATATCAATGTCCAGGTTTGGTGTGGCATCTGATGTCTCCATTCCTTCTAGCTGCACTCCGAACACCTTGGGACCTTTTTCATTTTGGGGGAAAGGAAGAGGAGGACTGCCCTCAACAGCCAGGCAAACCTTGAGTGTATTTCTTTGTTCAGACCTCAGCTTCCTTGTAATTAAATGACCCAAGAAATTGCCCACGTACAGTTCTGTGAACAAACACAGGAATGCGTTATATTGGTTTCTTTTTTTTTCTTTTTTTTCTTTTTTTTTTTAAAATATATTTATATAACCAGCATGGAAAAAGCTGTGGGAGCTTTGGGAACAAACTGAGAGCTTTGTACTTGTGCTTGTGTAGTGTGAGTTCTGGTTTGCATTAACTCGGGTACAATGCGACACTGGAGGGTGAATTTCTGAGACATGATTCAATCTCTACTTCATCCTGTAATCTAACTAGTGTAGTACTCCAGCGCCAACAAGAACCACTGCTTGTCCTGCCTATTCCTTATAAGTAGAAACCACAAAAAGATGAGGAATGTCATGCTCACTCCCTACGGCAGCTACGGAGTGGACAGATAAAAAGGAAGTCACGGTTGACTGAAGAGTTTAAAAATAGTACCTGGTTACTTCATGGCCCTGGGGAAGCAGTCATATGGATGGATATAAGATTTTAATACAGCCAAAGACATACGTGTGCCAATGACAGAGTCAACAACATATTTGCAAAAGAAAAAAGTAAAAAGAAAGTGTTTATGCTCTAGTGCATTGGGAGCCTGCAGAAATGGAGGCGGCTGCTCAGTGCAACATGTGTGAGGGGGGTCCTGTTACACCAATGCCATCTGATACTAAATATCTGTACCATTTGGTATTTGCTCTCTTAAAGAGGCCATATCGTCTAGAAAAGCAGCCTTGCTGGGAGAGAGGTTAGAAGCCTTCCTCTAGGGGGTGGTTGAAGTTTATTGTGCATCACTTCTCTGCACTGTCTCTTGATCATCAGAGGGAGAGTAAGGGCTTTGGGCGAGGGCCGGCCGCTGGTGCTCCTGTTGTAATTTAAGCATGTTTGTGCGTAGTAGTCAGAAGAACGAGGCCTGTGGAAGCTGCCAGAAGAGCAATGTAGCTGCACATATACAAATGGCTCAGTTGGAGGGATTTACTGGCAACAGTGGAAATTTTGCGGAAACAAAATTACATTGATAATCTACGTGTTTATACCCAGCTATGACTAAAATGTGTCAGCACTGTGGAAAAATAGGGAAGCATTGGCTCCTAATTACACATCTGCTGGGAAAACAAATATCAAACCAAGCCATAGAGTCACTTTACAACTGCTCAAAGTAGAGTGGAAAAAAATACCCCTAAGTGCTGCTCTTTGGTAAGCTGAGTGAGCTTGTTTCTCTGGTGTGTCTCGTGAAGTATCTGAGCCATTCTCTTCCATGCAGTTTCCTTGCTATCTTCTAGAAATACAACTCAAGACCAACATTAGCAACTCTCTGCCAGCTCATCATTGCTTCAGGGCACTGGAGGTGGGATGTCATACACCAGTCAGAGAGAAACCATGTGATACTATTGATGAAATCTGCACAAAAAATTAGAACAAGATCTGAAGATACAGCTACAGTGGCTGTGTAGTAAGAACTGAGGCAGCGGGACAGGGCGTTACTGAACACAGATAGGAAAGAATGACAAGAAACTACATGCGCCTGTATGCACGTGTAATGTTTTCAAAGCAAAGTCTTCAAACTGTGCAAGAGATAGCTATCAAAGGCCTCTGCTACCTGTTCTGCCACTCAGGCATGCAGTTACAGTCTTGGCGTTGTTGCTGAAACTGGCACAACTTCACGTCAGGAAAGCAGGAGGAAGAACAGATGTTGATGTCAGTGCAGCCACTGGCTCGTGGCGATGGGGCGAGACGGACAAGTGAGTATCCCTGCAAAGTAACGCTTGTGCTGCAGCGTGGGCTGATGGCTCACACTGTTTTCTGTGGTGGTGAACCCTTCTTTTCAAAGTTGTTCCTATTTTTTTTTTGTCTCAGGTTGTATTTCTAATATGAGAGAGATACAGGGAGCCCGGCACTCAGCTTACCGACCCGCTGTGGCACGGGGCGTGCCAGGCAGGTGGCTGTAGCTGCACCCGCTTGGCAGTGGGACTCCTCCA